TTCAGCAATCACATCATGATTTACGTTAAGTCGTTAAAGTTTGCATAAAATTGTTATACTCAGTTTTCTAATCTGTGAAGATTAGAAATACTCTTTATCCCACTGGATGTTTTGAGAATTAAAATTTGTAGAGATTTTTTAGGTCCTTAGTTGTTAGTAAGTTCTAGAGATACATCTTTTAACCTTAGTAGAAACCATGTCCTCCAAATCCAAGTGACTGAGGTCAGGATGTAAAATAAGACCACATAATAACATCCCTGTTTCTTAAGGGAGTGGGTGGGAGTAAAGGAACAAAGTATAACATTATGCTGCTATGTGGCAGATAGCTAATGGAATGTTTCATTTCTAAATATGTAATTTCAGTAATTGTAAGAGGTAGTTTTCAATCAGTAAGTTAGATCAACTGGTTAAATCTAATATGAACTTATACAAGCTTAATTTAATTTTGGATTGATTTACTAGATTGTTAAAAGTAGTTATCAATGGGTGGTATTGAGCTTCGGGCTTTTGGAAAACTAAATATCTTATACCTGCTTATCTCATTACGTTATCTTATTACATAAACTTCTTGATTACTTGTGATGATACTCTTCAATCACACATTTAAAGGGAAATCTTTTCAATCACACATTTAAAGGGAACTCTTAAAGTAATCTGTAAGACTGTTTCTCCTTAAAGAAGACATAAAGGATTTATTATGAAATTAAAGTGTAGATAAAGATCATTTAGAAGAGATCAAGAAGTAGGCCATATTCCTGGTAAGGATGGGATTAAAGATGTTAAAAACATCTTCGGGGGAAAAAAAAAGATTCATAAAGTGTTTCATATAGATTATAAAGATTTGTGTATGTGCTTAAACTTGAAAATGTTCTCCAAAAGTTTTAAAGGCCTTAGCTTCATTTTATACATTTGCCCTTAACAGAATACAGAGAATTTATTGCATAAAACTGCTAAGATGATTAGAATCCTGGTTGTTGCAAATAAATTTGAAATCATTGTACAGAGGACAAATATGATATAACCCATTGCTGTCGAATCGATTCCAACTCATAGTGACCCTCTAGGACAGAATAGAGCAGCCCCATAGGGTTTCCAAGGAGCAGCTGGTGGATTCCAACTGCCAACCTTTTGGATAGCTGTAGCTCTTAACCACTGCGCCACCAGGGCTCCAAATACGATATAACTATCATCAAACTACAAAAATCTATATTATTCATAGTTGATTCTCAAAGGATTAAAAGCCTTCGGATAACTAAAATGATAGAAAACAGGATATATGTGCAAATACCTATGCTCAGTGTGTGGCAAGTTGCTAATAAACAACATAGTAGCCTTGAGTTAATGGCTCAACTCCCTAGAACTGGAGAGATCCCTGGAGACCCAAATCTCAAAGCTAGGGGTCTTAATGCAGTTATCCTGGCTCCATACCTCTATCCAGAAACCATAGGTGGGGACTATGGAACCCTCAATTACTGTTCCCAGGGCCCCAATTTGACTATTTTCCTACACTTGACATTCCCCTCAAAGACTTCAAATTGAAGCAATGTATGGTAAGTACATTTAGGCAGAACATGCAGGAAAAAAAAAAACAAACACTTAGAAACTAAGGATTATTTTCACTGATGAAAAAAACTGCTGCAGCAAGATCCTTCCATCATTTGTAAACATTTACCCCCAAATTCTACTAGGTTATTATTATCTAACGGCAGCAGTACCAGATGGTAAATTGTTTCATAGTCACAAGATACTGGAAGTTGAACTGCAGATACCCAAGAAAACAGGCCTTCCCAGGAATGCATACTATATTTAAAATAATAATGATACATTAATTTAAACATTCTGGGATAAGGGAAAGAAAATCATACTTTCCGTAGAAATCAAGCAACTGCCTAAGCTAAGAGAACTAACCTTTTAGAATTAATACTATCAGTCAGTCGGTGACATTTATTGAGCACTCCCTGGGTGCATTTGGAAGCCTGTACCCCAGC